CACCCAGCTTTAGAGGAAAGGATAATTTAGTTTGGCCAGGGTTACAGTTCTGTGGGCTGTCCAAGTTCAGTCTGCTTCAGCTGAGGCCAGGTGTATCGAGGAGCTGAAGAATTTTGACTGTTTCCTTTTGCCTGTAACGAAGTGTAATGGTGGCCAAGTTCCCTGTCTGCAGAGCAGAGAGACTGAAAATTCCAAAGCATGAACAAATGCTGCTTGCAGAAAACTTACACAGTCTGCCTGCCGCCTCCCCGGGCATCTCACGGACAGCAACGCCACCCTGTTGTCCTCTCAGTACAAAGTGGCCTGGGAAGCGGCACCCCATAGTCACCTTTTGTTCCCCTCCGAGACAGCTTGTCACTTCTAAGGGGACATCAGCCCATGCCTGTAGCTGGTGCTCTGCACTGTAATAGGGTGGGGGAGTTTGAAGTGCTTGTCAGTAACTGAATCCTCGAGATTCCCCCTGTGTTTGTGATCCATGATGTGCGACCTCTGAGTTGAGCAAGTTAGAGGAGTATTTTGTTAGTTCAGACTAGAAGTGAAAGTACATACGGCTTGGGAGGAATTGTATTCCTCTCCTTCGCCATTACTGAACTAAGACCCCTCGTACGGCGCTGTCCTTCAGGAGTGCTAGCTTGTAGTGAGCTGTCTTTCAGCAGAGCGTTTAAGTCAAGGTTCTGACACTGTTTTAGTAAAATTTTCCACGACCTAACTGACATTGATGTCCTGGATTGGTTTTTGGGTTGAGAAGCCAGCATGCTGCTTAGTTTGTGTCCGCCTCTAGCATTGACCCAGTGTGTGGATCCTTTCCTGTCCGTCGTTCGTCTTGTTTGGCCGAGCGCTAGAGACCCGCTGTAGCCCATCTGTGCTGGAGAAAGCGCTTCTCAAACAGGGCTTCTGTTGGGGCCCAGTGTGCTTTTGCAGGCTGCGCACTTCCCAAGGGCCCTTTCTCTTCATGGCTTTTGCATCTGCTCTTCCCTCGCAGGACTGGAAGGACCACCAGCATATCTGCGGCCAGTCGGCCACAGTGACGGTGCAAGCCGACGAGGTGCACGTCACGGACAGCGTAATGGAGAAAGTCACCGTCTGAGCACACCTACCTCTTCAAACTGTTCACGAACAACATGGTGCGGCCGGCTGGATCGGCAACCCGGCGTGAACGGTCTGTCCTTTACAAACCACACTCCTTTCTCTTAGCGAACTCATTTTTGAAAGACTTTTTGATACTGTGACAGCATTTGCCTACTCCCGATCCTCTTGCAAAACTTTGAATAATACAGAGACTGTGAAAACCTCATCTGGGAAAAACACCCCCCCCCTAACTGCAGCCTAGCAGCTGGGAGCCCCCTTTGGCTTAAGGAAGCTTCGACTTTGCCAGACTGGAACCTCCACCATGTGGGTTGCAGCGATCTCATCATCTCTCTCGAGATGGAGCTAAAGCAGGTGCTGCAATGAGATTTGCCAGTGTGTCCTTCCCCCCGTGCCTCCCTACCTCTTGTTTGAAAAGAGAAACGAACCTTCATTTGGTTATTTAATTGCCTTGACAAAGTCAGTACAAGTTCTTAGTTTGCCATCGGAAGGACTTTTTTTTTCCTGTGTTCCCTCTGTGCTGGGCAAATTTGGAACACACTGGAGCTCCTGCACTTGAATATAAGTGAAAAATAACATGTTAAATAAAATGCGGTGAAAGCATGAGCGTGCCCAGCGGTTCTGTTTAATTCCCACGGCAGCACTTTAACGTACTGATAAATGCAGGAAGTGGCTCCAGCGTGGCTGTCGGGAGTTGGTGCAGCTACAACGCAGCTGCGGTTACACGCACGCGTCTTTACCCTCCGTCTCCGTAGGAGGCCGGCTGGGACGTGGTTTGTTCAGCAGGGGAAGCGCGGTCTCATCATGTGGCGTCCCTCGGCTGTAGCTCGTAGCGGCCATCTGGCCAAAATCGGATCTGATCAAACCCAGAATAAGAGTATATTAAGCAAGTGCTGTCCTGTCCCTGCCATTTAGTAGCTACTAATTAAAGAAGCGGTGAGCATTAGGAAGTTATTTGCTTCGTTCACTGCAACAAAATAATTTAATTATTAATGTACTTCTTTAATAATTTAGGCTAATCAGACATCTTTATTCGTGCTTGAAGATTAACGCCCCGGGCTGGAGTAGTCTCGGTAGACACGCACACCTCTCTGGTGGTTTTTTTTAGCCTCGGGCATAACAGCTGTGAGGGGTTGCTTGTCCTGTCTGGTTGTTCACTCCGATTTAGTGTTGGTGGGCGAGGAGGATTATTGTTTAGCTTACACTCCAAGTGGGGTCACCTCTGAATCACAGTGACCCGACGCAGCATCGTAAATGCTGTCGAAAGGAGAAAATTCTGTCCGGAGTTGCAGGAAGGTAATAATAGAGAAAAACATGATGGAAAATACTGAAGTCTTACACTAGTGGTTTCTGACAAGTCCACTCCGTGAATCCGAAAGCTCTGGTTACGTTACACTCCTTGTGTTACAAGGAGATGGAGGCCGGTTTATCACCTCTCGCAGCATTTGCTGCGCTGCTGAGATCTCTCTTCAGAAGCGCCCGTCGGTGGAGTTTGCCTGCAGCACCAGCTGCTGAGGCAGCAGGCGGGACCTTTCCGTGGAGGGCGGGTGACGGGTCTCCAGCACAGGTCGGCGGCAGTTGATGGATGTCACTTTCTGGCTGTTTACTGGAAAAGTTATTCCCCCTAATGCAGAGCTTAGTGGGCAAGGCGGGCAGCAGTGCCGACGTGCCCATCGAGGGCGAGGAGTTGGCGTCGGCAGGGGGAAGGCAGCAGCCTGCCGGCCTCCTCTGAAGGGAAGCGTTCCCTAAGGGAAAGCCAAGCACGAACTGAAGCAGGATGAGAACAGAAATTACCCGTGTAAAACTCCTGGGGAGGAAAGAACAGGCAATTCCTTAGATTCCCGTAGCAAAAAGCTCGCTCCTCCTGCTTCCCAGAGTAATACTCCAGTATTTGTAATCGTTTCTTCTCACTCTGTTAAATTATGATTGCCTCTTTTCTAAAGCTTAAAGACAATTAGTTAATTGAAAAGACAGTCTTAATAGAGCCCACAGTCATACAGCTAATTTACAGGGTTTCTTGCCTCTGTCTGTTGCCCATTAAGGTTCTGACTAAATGGAACAGCGCAGAATGTCCAACACCTCACGCTGCTGTGGGGTTACACCGCCCGTTTCTTTTCGGCGACCTGCCTCAGCAGCACCCTGGAGTAGGCGCAAAGCTCTCGGCACGACAGCGCCGCGGTGGAGGTCTGTGTGTGCACCAGAGCCGCGAGCTGGCCGTTCAGCCGCCGGCCGCTGCGGCCGGGCCAGCCCAGGGAAGGGCGGGCGGCAAGCAGTGCTGCTGCTGCAGTCCGACCCCCCCCCTTAGCGCTGGTGTCTCCGAGCAGAGGTGCTGTTCTCAGAGGAGGCTGCCAAGTCGCAGGCTGGTGAAGCTGTGGGTCGAGTCGCTCTGATAAATGAGGGCGAGACAGCAGCGTCTCGCATTAGAATGCGGCGAAGGTTGGCTCTGAAGTGGCACCTTTGGGGTGCTAAAGCTGCACTGTCAATGTCAAACACAGCTTTCAGTTGGAAAATATTTCTGTTGCTTCACCCCTTTGGCTCACCTTGCGTTCTCCACAGAGACCCGTCCCCGTACGGTACTGCTGGTTTGAGAAGCAGAGCTCTGCGTGAATTCAAGGCCAAGTACAGCTACGTGAAGAGGTCAGCTGAGATACCAGGTACTCAAGCTTGCCAGGGCTCCTGCTTGTGTAGGTGACTGGGCAGCAACTTACACAAACACAGAGCAAGTGCTCCACTGGCCTTACTACATAGTTTGTGGCCGAGTACAGCTGAGCCTTGGTTACTGTCTGACACGTGGCTTTACTGAATCCTTTAAGGGAAAAAAAAAATTGGAAGAGAGTGGGGCAACCTTCCTAAATGAAAAAATTGTAGGTATGAGTCACCTGTAATTAAAGCTCTCAGGGAGCTTCCCATCAGAGCCCTGGCATCTGGGGCGGCTGTGCCCCTGCACAGTGGCAAACTACAGAACTGAAAAATCTACAGTAGAATCACTGTGGGAATTTAATATGTTTATTTGTTGATGATAAATTGATCGAGCAATTGTCATTCTTAGTCAAAGAAAAGCTTCAGACCGCCCTGCAGTACTTTTTTCCTTTTGTTTCTAAGCAAACAAATCCCCCCTCGGAAAGCACCAACCCCACACAAAAACCATTACTCAGAAGATTCCTGGTTTGTGCAATAACCATCCTCTTCCCTCCTGAGCCTCGGAGAGCGGCATTAGCTGCTCCCCCTGGCTACCCTTGGTGTCACTGCGCTCAGGTTTACCAAAAGGTAGAGGGGATTTTTTTCCTGCAGGCTGGAAATGGTTCCTGGCGGGTATCGTAGAATCATAGAATCATAGAATCATTGAGGTTGGAAAAGACCTCTAAGATCATCGAGTCCACCCGTCGACCCAACACCACCACCCACTAAACCATGTCCCTAAGCGCCTCATCTACACGTCTTTTAAATACCTCCAGGGATGGGGACTCAACCACTTCCCTGGGCAGCCTGTTCCAATGTTTCACCACTCTTTCACTAAAGACATTTTTCCTTCCATCCAATAGTTGTAGAGAGCGATGAGGTCTCCCCTCAGCCTCCTTTTCTCCAGGCTAAACAACCCCAGTTCCCTCAGCCGCTCCTCATCAGACTTGTTCTCCAGACCCCTCACCAGCCTCGTTGCCCTTCTCTGGACACCTAAATCCAAAGCAAGAGCTGTTCTGAGAACCATCCCTGCTGTCTTGTGGTGTCTCCTGCTGCTTATGTCAAGCGCCAAGTGTTAAAAAAGTGGCTAAGCCTGCAGTTTCCAGTGGGGAGAGTATCCGAGCTGTATCCACCGGTACTCACCTGTAACTCCTTATTAGAAAGGGCTGGGAACTAGCATCCTTTAGCTGCCGTCTCTCCTCCTTCCCTCCTCCCCAACAAAGACAGCAGGCCTTAGGCAGAAATAGATCTTTAATGAACTATACAAAAAATAGCCTGGTCGTTCCTTCTCCCTGCCAGTTCCGGTGGGCTCAGCAGAAGAGGCGCAAGACTTTGCGGAAGAAGTTCCTGAACTCCGCGTTGAAAACGGTATAAATGATGGGGTTGAGAGCACTGTTGACGTAACCCAGCCAAGTGACAGTGCTGATGACTTGGGTGGGAATGGTGCAGGACTTGCAGAGAGCCCTGGTAATGTGGACCACAAAAAAAGGTGTCCAGCAGAAGAGGAAAGCACCTGCCAGAAGAACATTAAAGAGAGAAAGGGATGTGAATGTTAAAGAGGGTTTAATTTAACAAATGCAGCCTGGGCCAAACAAGAATGGAGACAGCTCAGAGTGCTTAGGGAAAAAGCGACAGATGTGCTGACACGTAGAGCTGGGCTTACACCCAGACAAAAAATTCAGCATGTCTTTCTCGTTCTAAACACTGATGAAAAGTCTAAGTTATGTATCGTTTTGGATTCGCATTTAAGATATGAGAAGTCACAGGTTTACCTTGACGAAGAGGTTGGATTATAAACACTGTACATACGTTCCTTCCCAAGGGTGGGGTTCGTTGGCACTACTCTGGCTCAAAGGGATACTGAGGTTTTCACTGGATAAACATCCTCTCACAATGAGAGATGGGTACGGCAGGTCGTACGCCACAACCAGGCTGTTCCACAGGAACAAGGGGAGGGTGGGTGTTAAAATGAGTCCACACATGACGGAGAGGGAGGAGGACCAAAGACGTGGCACTGGGGAGGTGGAACAAGAGGGAGGTGGCTTTTAGCTCACCCTCACCTCCTCCAGCAAGGATAAAGCATGGTTCTCAGCATGACACCTCTCACCGCTGCCCAAGCACCCGTGCCTGGACAGTTTGGCTCCCGGTAGGGGAGTCCGCAAAGCACGTGTTCACTTTGCCAGGTTCAAACAAGTCCTGCCAGACTGAACCCTGCTGTAGGACAAGGCAGCACGCTTCCCACCCTTCCCCAGCCATCACCGACTGCTACTCACCGACGACGACAGGCAGCACCCGCATGGCCTTCCGCTCCCGGCCATTGATCTTGGCTCGCTTCCGACTGTGTCCTGGGTGTGAGTACTTGAGGTGTGGGTAGGAGACAGTCTGGATCCCATTGTTCATCACATAGCCCCCAGGGTGGTCAGAGCAAGCGTAAGGGTTGCACCCCTCTGGCTCCAGTCCGGTCTGCTTGCTCTCAATAAAGGTTGAGGGGTGATACAGCTTCCTGTTGGCCCCGTAGATGCTGCCCCTCAGCTTGACTTTCCTGGCTTCTTCCCAACGCTTGAGTCCTTGGAACATGGCGCAGTAGAGCACCAGCATGACGGGGCAAGGGATGAAGAAGGAGCAGATGGAGGAGTACACAATGTAGTTGTCATCCTCCAGCTGACACAAGCTGGGGTCCCGGTTTGGGACGTTGTTGAGGCCAAATATGACTGGGGATGCTACAGCAAAGGCAAATATCCAGGTGGTGGATATAAGGATCAACTGCCGCAGGTCGATTTGTCGCCGGTTGTAGTTCAGTGGGATTGAAACAGCGATAAACCTGCCAATACAGGCCCCAGGTGAGTCAGTCCTAGTATGGTGGTATCGCCACTGGTAGCATAAGCGAGTGGTCCCAAAGCTGCTTGCCACTGCCCTTCCCCCCTGTTAATTTACTTACATAGCCAAGGCCTGGGCTACAACCAGTCTCCCCGCTCAGAAGAGCGCCCAAAGGGACAGCTCTGGCCGCCTCACACAACTGTGCTTTCAGCTTGGCCACCGCAAGGGTACTGATGGGACACAAAGCTGGTGATGGGGGAGGATGGTAGGGCAGAACACCCTCCTTAGGAGAGAACGGGATCTGGCCTCCCTGCATGGGACCCTTGCAAGGGCGTGTATGGAAAAGCAGCTTGATGCCAGGACACAGCGCTCCCTCCCCTGGCATGAGGAGGGGGAAAGGCACTTACCGATCCACGCTGATAGCACAGAGGTTGAAGATGGAGGCTGTGCACAGCATCACGTCCATGGTCATCAGGGCATCGCACAGCACCGTGCTGAGGGACCACACACCTCCCTGGAACTGAAAAGATCCCCGGGGTCAGCAGATGCCAAGTCCCACTGCCTTTAAAATGACACGAACCAACTCCGTGCCTGGGCACCTCAGCCGCCCACGTTTTCCTCCAAACAAGCAGCCTGAAGTCGAGCAGTCCTGCCTGTGGCACGATACTCCCTTTCCAGCAAAGCAGTGGCACACGGGAATTAGCCCCAGCAAGAGTTCACAGCTTGCTTAGCGCTTCGCGGTTCTGGCCTGTGCTGTGAACCCGGCTGTTGGAAAATGGGAATGGAAGGAAAAGCTCAAGGAGCACAGAAATAAGTCAGGATTCATTAAACCCTTCTTCAGGACATGGCACCAAACACTTGTCCAGACCCTCTTGCATCCAAAGCTGATGCACTGAACGTCAGTTTCCTTTCCTCGCACCAGGACCACTGCCTCTAGGACGAGGCCACAAACAGATTTTTTATGAAAATTCTAATTTTAGTACAAGAGAAGGTGCCTTTTTGTTTGTCAGTAAAAGAGGGGTTCAAAACCCTGCTCAGCTCAAGCTGAACCCCTCCATCCTAGTTTAGCAGTTGAGAGGAAGAAAGGCTCCCTCGCTCCCCCTGTATCAAACCCATATAAAGCTCTGTCATCCCACACCATTCAGAAGCCACGCCACTGTGTGTGGTCTGCAAGCACTGACACCAAATTAAATTCTTGTAAAAAACGCTCAGTTGCAGGCACAACAAACCAAGCCTCTTGCATCTGTTGTAACGATGTCTCGGGCCTGTGTGCTATTTCTGTAAGGAGCAGGGCACAAAGCGGTAGTGTTGGCAGGGAACAGGGAGAGGTTATCTGGCAAGAAATAAGATGAGCTCAGCAAGAAACACACAAACTCTCCTGAGGGACAGGTCTGAGCTGTCTGAGGGTCTTTTTTTTGGAATGGAGCACGTATTTCACTTGCCAGGCAAAGAATCCTCTCTCCCTGGAGGTTCAGACAAATCATATTTTGAGATGGTGCTGTTCCTTCTAAGCATCACCCTGTTTCGGTCCCGCTATGGCTGAAACAGGAGCTAAATGTACTTTTACAAATCATATTTTGAGATGGTGCTGTTCCTCCTAAGCATCACCCTGTTTCGGTCCTGCTATGGCTGAAACAGGAGCTAAAGGTACTTTTAGATCTAAAGCTGTCCTCGCATGACGACTGGCACGGCCACTCCCAGAGCGGTGGAGCACCTTAGAGCAGGGGCTGGGAGTCAGGGGTTCGCAAGAGGCTACTTACACCTTCGCTACAGGCACCGTGAGACTTTCTGATTTTCAGCGGGGTCGTTTCTCAGTCAGCGGCACAGACTCTTTGCACAGCCTGCGGCTGCAGACAGAAGGAAGGACAGCAATGGCTTAAGCTAGCACAGCCACCAAAACTACTTGCAGGAGTTTGTTCCAACCGAGTGCCGGTCTTGCCCAGTTGTAAAACCAGCCCATTGCTTTACCATTAAAGCACTTTTTAGGCTGATGCAGAAAAAGTATCAGCTCAAGCCCATTCCCACTCCGTGCCAACGTGCCGTTATTCCCATGAGCTTGTTCAGCGCAGGCAGAGACCTGTCAATGCGCTCACACTCGCACAGGCAAACCAGGAGGGCTCAATGGGCTGTTCCTACTACGGCAGCAGAGAATTCTTCCTCCCAGTTTGCGGCTGCCAGGCAAACTCCACCATCCTCTGGGTCCCTGTGCGGAAAGGTTAGGTTAAGAACCCAAACCCTTATTCAACATGCCGTACAAATAGGTATGATTTTAGCTTGAAAATAAAGCGTTCAGTAGCAATGGCCGCTTGTCATGTCTGACTCAAACACAGGTATTTTGCCAGCAGCTTGCAGATCTGTTCTCTATCACACTAATGCTTAGCCATTCAGCTATTTTATATATACTATATGTACAAGCATGCATACATATATGTTTTTTTTTTTTTCCTTTAGCTCATACTCCTTCACAGTCACATTAACACAGAAGCTTGCGGTCACCCTCTAAACAGGCCTACTGCAGAATTTAAGGAGCTGAGCCGTTGCAAAAAGCACCACCAGCTCAGGGGAATGCCAGAAGCCCCTCAGCTCACGGCAGCTGTGGGTGCTGTCCCCTCCCTGCCGCACCCCCTGCACAAGACACACCCCCGCCC